TTGCAATTGTTTGTGTTCTTTGGACCTAACTACCAGTTTCATCCTTTCCCATTGCAAGCACAGCTAAGCAAACATAAATTGACAGGCAGTCAATTATTTAAGTTTCAGGTTACTATCTCAAGCTCAGTTTCTTCTAACTTTTAACTAAAATCTTTATTTCTTTAAGATTAGTGTTTCAGACCAATTCCTTCCAGGAATATTTCATTGTGGGATGAGCTCCTTGACAGCCTGTGCAGAAAACACTTTGGGAAGTTCTGAAGGCAGAAGCACACAAGAACAGTGGTGCTGTTTTTCTGGGCTCAGGAGCACGTTCATGCCTTTGTGCTGCCACATGAATGGAGCCTTTGCTGATAAAGGAAACGCCCTCGCTGTGCTCTGCTTCTATTTCTAGATCCAAGCTAAAAATTCTTCTCTTAGGAGGATCCCTCTGTGTTGCGCAGGTGTGCGGGAAATTCTGAGCATTTTAATGACATTACATTTTATTTTGGTTAAGCAGTCTGAGGGAAAATTTCTAAATTCAAACAGAGAACTTCAAAAATGGCATGATTTTGAAGAGCTCTGAATTCTAGAGGTATGCAAATAACTTTTTTCCCAATTCCTTGGCAAGTGTAAAACATCATCTCCAGCTGATGATATTTTTAGCAAACATAATTTTTTGGGGGTGAAAATGAAACCAGCAATTTTGCAGTCAAAACCTGTTACAAAACACCAATAAAAATGTGCGTTTCTTTCCAAGTGTGAAGCTGCTTATAATATGAAAAGTAAAATGTTTTTGTTTGTTTTGTTTTAAAATATTAAAATGGACCTTGTTATGGAGTGCAATATTTTATTGAAACTGAGATGAATGAGCAAACATTTCAGTGTCCCAGCATCTGCATTTTTTCGATAGAAATGAAATTGCAAGTATTAGCTTTGCCAAGCTCCTTTCATCCATTGGATGTGACTGATAGAAGTTTATTAAAGCAAGCTAATTATTTGTGTACATAAATATGGAATTTGCAATATAATATCAGTTTATGGTTTTGTAGTGATTTCTAAACATGAATTATAAAAGTCCAGAGGTAGCTCCTTACATAAGCTGCAAGAGCTCCATAGGTACAGCAGGTAAGGAAATATAGCAGAGTGAAGACACTACAGATTTTAACTATGGCAATTTTGTTTACTGACATCATCACAATTACATCAATAACTACTTGAAGTAGTTCAGTTTATGTGTCTCAGCTTTCCTCAAGTAAAGCAGCTGATCTGATGAAGCACTGAACTGTTCAGTTTTTTTGGTTCTCTATTCTTATTCACCTTCCTATACTGCTGGCTTGGTTTTTCAGGCACTGTTATTTTCATACACCAGTCTCTTTCACAAAGCAAAATGTAAAAAACATAACACATTTTCCCTGGCACTTCTCCTCTCACTCTCACTTTTTAAAATTGATAGATGTCTTCTAAATTGCTAAATCAGGAGTACAGATATGAGGAACTGAGCTGTTTACACCAAGGACACCATCACTAAGAGGGTCTGTGAGTGACCAAAACCTTGTTTCAAAGCCTCTTGTGACTGGTGGTTGTGTCCCCTGGTATCTCATTTGTTATAAGATCTGACTGAAGTTTATGCCTACAGCTGAAGGTTTTGTACCATCTGCTCCTTCAATTCTTCTTCCCCCATTCTCTCACTCTCTGATGTGTAACAATGTGCTCTAACATTTGCTGGTTTTAAACATACCCACTCCCATGGCAGCACTATGAGAATTTGACTCTTTACCAGCCCTCCTTTCTTCACAGCTCTGGAAGGAGTATTTTTTTTTTTTTCAAACTTTTGTATCTATGTTAAATTTGGCTGAAATCATCCAATATTTAAAAACAAAAATAGTTTGGCGTAGGAAATAATCTGAGTGCCAGACACACATTCCTATAGGCAGTCACTTCCAAACATATGCAGCATGAAACAAGGATAACACATCACAGAAGCACCACATTCTGTATAAGGCAACACTTCTGGAGGTATCAAACATCTGTGTGAACACTGACAAATTTTAGGTTTCTTGTGCCTTAGCAGTTTCCTTATGATAAGCTCGTTGTGATGCAGGCAAATGTTAAAGAAATGAAGTCAACGACACTGTGATGAAACCTTTGATAAAGCACACTTGAAAGTTCCCTCCCTAAAAATATGTGAAGATATTAAGTAGTGAGGTAGAAGGTCAAGTTCATCTCATGGACTGATATCTGATTAAAAGACAGGAAATAAATCTGAGTATAAAGGCTCTGTTATCACAGCAGAGAAAATGCTGCAGAGGTGACCACTGAGATCTGTGCTGGAGCTTGTGCTCTCCAGTGTATTAGTAAATGATCTGGAAAGAAGAACAAAGAGGAAAAGAGAAGCCTTTGCTGAGGAGTAATAAAAACTAAAATTGACTGTGGAGACTTCCAGGAGGATGGTTGAGTGATGGGCAATAAAACAGCAGGTGAAATTATCTTTCGATCAGCTGAAAACCTGATATACACATGGAGAAAAATAACCCCACCTATACATAAGGAGTGACAAGTCCCACATGAGATACTGTTATTCAAGGACAGAGCGGTGTAAGTTGCTCTGTGAATACAGCTCACTGTTCCAGGGCAGTTCTACAGAGTGCCACAAATTTTTAATAGAGAAAAAGAAAAAAAGGAAAAAACAAGAAAAAAATCCCCAAACATGAAAGGAAAGGAAAGCTTATCTGTAAGTCAGCAAGTAAAGCAGTGATGCATCTATATTTTACAATTCCAGTCTTGTCTCCTCTGGTACCAAAAAGTAACCAACAAAAATACTGTTGTTATGGAATAGTTTCTGAACAATGAAAAACTAAGTACACCAGTTATTTTCCATAAAGAAAAAAGATGAAATGCATAGTGATTTCAAAAAATATAGGTGATGATGAAAAGAAAAATTACTTCTTATACTCCAAAAGGAATTGTTTTCAAATTAAACCATCAAACCAAGGTTTGGAAAGAAAGAAGAGGCAGAGTTTTCCAC